GAATCTACAACCTTCAATTCCTTTTCGCGATTCAGAGAATCGATTCTTGGCGCGGTCGGGTTTAGAATTTTTATTACACTGTTGTATTTTCATTGGTATGTTATGTTTTAAAGTTTTCAGAAGATTTTAAATGTATTTTTCCCCCGGGCAACGCTGGGTATATCGAGTTTATACCACAAAGTCGTCGCTTGACACGTGTGGGGTGTCGAGGCCTAGTACCGTGCAGAGCCTCCGGCCTCGCCTAGATTGCCCACCCGGCTGAGGCTGGGTACTGGGGCCGTTACCCCCCCCCCCCCCCCCGCGCTACAATAATACTGTCTAATCGCTATAATTTTATTATCTACCGACCCTACGATAGTAATTGCACACATTGGGGTGGGGGGGGGAGTGAAGAGGACGTGAAACTTTGATGAATTTACCTCAGAGTCGTGTGTTAATGCGTGCGCATATTTTTAAAGGGAATTAAAAATGGCGTCCACCCCGCAGCGACAGCGTTGCTGCCCGTTGCCAGGGACCAACCGCTCGCTGCCAGGGGCAACCGCCTTCCCGCATGCGCAACGGCGTGCTTCGTTACGTGCTGGTCGGCAATAGTAAATAAATAAATAAAGAGAAATCGCACTCAATAGATAATCGGTCCGATTTAAAGTTTAGAGACGAAAAATTGTAAATGCCTAAGTTTACCGCGGGGCCGGGGGCGTGCCCACCTGCAAAATTTAATCTCGGCGAACCCCACGGTCCGAGAACTAAATCCCCCGGAAGCGAGCGTACGCAGACGGACAGACGGACGGACAGACAGACAGACAAAAAATGAATTATATAGGTTAGACTAGCGGTTAGTACCCGGCGTTGCCTGGGCGATAAAGGCAGACACACATGTAGTTACACACGCAAATGAGCTGACACACACACGTAGAGTTACACACACAAATGGACTCACACATACATACATCGACTGAACAACAACAACCACCATGGCCACTAAGTGGTAGTGATGTCACGACAACGCTTGTGCCAGGCCATGTGCACCTTGAGGCCACGTGAAGTGTCGAACGCCCGCTGGCTGGAGGTGACGGGGCAAACCCAGATGGCAGAGGTCGACTGAGTGAGTCGACTGGCTGATGCACCACCTGTGGCCCCTACTGTGCCAACTTGCTGTGCTTTAGCCACCCGGCGCTCCGCTCGTTGTTGTGAGCGTCGCTCCTCCGCCCTCCATTGTTGTTGGAGGGCGACTGCGTCCAACTGCCCAGTAGCGTTCTTCAGGAGCCTCCTCCACAGAGGCCGATCTTGACATGGCTGTTACCAGTCATCCGCAAGAAGACTCAGCTCCACGTCCTCCTGTATCACATCACTCAATGTCTTCTCCAGCCCGTGCCACGCCCCCTCAATCCGGCCGAACAAAAGCTGTTTAGGCAATCGGTGGGTGACCATGCGGGCTACATGACTCAGGCAACGCAGCCTTGCCTGCCGGAGGAGGTCACCGATGGAATTTTGTCCACATCTTTCAAGGATTTGTGAGCTCACACAATGCAGCCTGGTTAAAGGCAGGATGGATCGTAGGCAGGCCATGCTAAATGTTCTAACCGGCGAAGATGTTCCATTAGGGGGGTCCAAGTTTCGCAAGCGTAGCGAAGGGAGGGAATGACTGTGGCCGAGAAGACCTGAAGTTTTGTGCGGAGTGATAGACCAGATAGCTTCCACACAGTGTTACGCAACCAATAAAAAGATAATGTGGCTCGACTTTTTCGGTGTGAGACCTCTGCTGTTAAACCGGAGCTGGTCATTAGCACACTGGCAAGGTATGAGAAACTTTCCACTGTCTCCACAACTGCCCCATCACCAATTGGGAGTTGTGGGGGTGGAGTGTCCGATGATACAAAATACCCAGGCAGGTACTTAGTTTTGGAGAGGCTGATGGTAAGGCCCCACCTCTTGGTGGCAAGCTCCAGGTTCAGCAGCAGCACCTTGAACTCCTCCTCCGAGTGAGCAGCAGTTATAGCAGATCATCGGCGTAGATAACGTGGTTGAGCAATAGGGAGCCATCCCTTGACCGCACCTGGGCATCGATCAGCCTCTCATTGTATCTGTAACAGATGGTAATTCCTCCGAAGTACGTGGTAAAAATATATGTAAAATAATGTGGGAGCCAGACATCCCTGTTGCACCCGAAGGTGTAAAGGGGAATGTCTCCGACTCACGGCCACGTAGTTTGACGCGGGGCCGCTCACCATCATGAAGGTCCTTAAGGATCATGAGCAGAGGGTCAGCGACTCCGAAAGCACGAACAACCCAGAGGCCAGGCCTACTGATGGTATCATAGGCCTTGACCAGGTCAATAAAGCACACACATGGACTAAGACGCACACAAGGACCAACAGACACGCAAAGAAATGGACTTACACTAACTAACATGAAGCCACACACACACAGCGACTAACACACATTCACATGGACTGACACACACACATACACATCGACTTACACACACATACACATCCACTTGAGATACACACACATGGTGTCACACACACATCGACGTACACACATACAGCGACTCACACACACACATAGACTCACACACACATAGACTGACACACATTGGCGTACACACACATACACATATGGATTCTAATACACGAACATATACTTTAGATACAGACGCATGGAGTTACACACATATATCAAGTCACACACATGCATTGACTTACACACACACATTGAATGACACGCACACACATATGGACTGAAACACACACATCGACTCACACACACGCATCGACGTGCACAGCAATCCCCGATGATGGCACAGCTATCAGCATCGCACTACTACGTATCAGTAAATTGCGGGAAGTGAGCAATCGAAACAATAGAAATGAATAGTAGAAATAATTAAAATAAGTGTACATTAAATAGCAGCAGTACACACAGGTAAGTTGAGAAGCAGGCTATAGTATAGATTATAGACTGGCAGTACACCGACTCAATGACATAAGCATTGCTACAGTGGCGATAAAAAGCTGGCAATAGGGGCAGCAGCTGAAAAAGCAGGATACAGTCGACATGAAAGGCTGGCAGTACACTTAATGAGGTAAAGAAGCAGGCAACAGATTATAGACTGGCATTCACTCATAATGAGTAAAAGCTAAATTAACAGTGTAGATATTGGCAGTGCACTGACGTTAATGAATCAGCAGGCAGCATTCAACACCACGGCAGTACACACTGTCGCAGCGTCATAAAAAGGCACAAAAAAAGGAAATATTTAGCAACCTAATAATGAAAATGTAGTTTTCTGCACACAAACATTATGATTGTAATATTAGGCAATGTATTAGTTTGATTATAGTAAACAATGAAGCAGAGTTGTTCTCTGCACACAAACATGTTTGTAATATTTGTAAACTTATTTGCTTAATAATAGTAAACAATAAACCTGAGTTATTAGCGAAAGATTCAATAAAATAGTATTTTACATTGGCGTGGTGACGCCTCGTCCCGTGCAGAGCCTGCGGCCTCGCCTAGATTGGCAAGCCGGAGGTGAGACATTGCCAGGATGCGAGCTAGGCCGCTACTACCCCCACCATCCCCCTGCCCGAGCCATAATAATACTATATAAGCGCTTTAATAATATTCATATCTAAGGACTTTATAGCAGTAACTGCACGCATCGTGTTGGGAGGGGGGCGAATGAAGACATGAAACTGTGAAGAAAAATCCGCAGCGTGATGTTACATTTATTTCATGTTAAACGCGGAAAAATAAAATGTCTCCCGTGAGCTCGACCGAACTTTAAAGTTTACGGACGTGAAAACGAAATAGCCTATTCCCACCGCGGGGCTTAGGGCGTGCCGGCTGGCAAAAAAATGTTGGATTTAAAACCCACCGCCCGAGAGCCAAATCCCCCGCAAGCGCGTGTGCGCGGAGACTTTTATATATAAGATATTGTAACATGTTGCCATCGAGAAATATACTGCTTTGAAATTGGGTCTATAATTTTAAAACACCCTGTATTATAAAGGGGCCCAAAATAAAAACTCGGAAATATGATTTTTTTTTATTTACTTGCATAGTAAAGTTATTGTATTTTTTTTAATTTGCTATACAGCCAGATAATACGACAAATAGCTAACCTTAAACACCCAATCGTTCATTAAAAAGTTGAATGCAGTATAGTACTATAGTAATAGAGCATAATCACTTAACTAGAATTGATAGCTTGAAAGCATTTAGACATTTTTTTCTGATGCTGTAAACATAATTTGCAATTTAGTTGTTTTAAGTTGTGGCTGCCCGATGTAACACATTCGTATCTGGACACCTATGTTTAGCATCCAGAATCTTATGAGATGGAGTGCATTCGAATTGGTTTTGTTAATGTCTCTCTGTGTTTGTGTCTCTCTGCGTGGGTGTGCCTCTCGGTGTGTCTCTCTCTCCTGCCCTCGATGTGGTGTCGTTTGTTTGTCCAACGACCTGAATGTCTTACTAGTACAGTCACTGTTGCCGTTGGTTCGTTTACATTGACATGCTAATCTCTCACAATACAATGGCCACCTCCTCAGCTCTCGCATCAACCACAACCCTCCCCCCCCCCCCCCCATCTCGGTTCCCATCTTTGGATTTCCCACTCACTTAGGCACAATCTCGAGCCCCCACCCTCTTGCCCGATGCGGCAACCACCCTCTCCCCCCTTCTCGGCTCTATATATAAGGACTTGTTTCAACAGGCTGTCGTGATCTATTATTTTTTTCTACCTACGTGACTTTACCGAAAAAAAACAAAGAGTATGGATTCCTGCAGTCACGAAAGCTTCAAATCGAGTTTGAATATAAGATAATATACTTCCTCAAAGGCAGGCAATATAGTTTCCCAGGGAAACATGTTAAACTGTATCATATTGTATAATGAGTGTGGTGGCACAAGCTGGATAAAGCTAAATCAGCAAACCAATAAATTACCGCGACTGGTGTTGACTCTAACAATGAGTTTTTTTTTTGCTTTTAAAGGCCACCCGAAGACCCGTGCCTTCATTACGCACGGCGGGACTAACGGTGTCTACGAGGCAATCTACCATGGCGTCCCCATGCTCGGCTTCCCGCTTTTTGGCGACCAGAAGGACAACCTCCTGAGAGTGCAGACGCGTGGGGTTGCTATCGTGCTGGACATCAACACGGTCACTGCCCAGGAGATCCGAGATGCAGTCGACTTGCTCATCAACAACAGCAGGTGCGTGCACAGCAACGGCATTACTTGTATGTGTACCATCCTTTCCAGTTCATTATAGACAGCAACAATTAATTAACACAAAGGAGTTGACATGTGGGATGATATAACGTCAATCCTATATCGATTAACCTACATTAAATACGGCAACATGAATGTAAAGAGATGGTTCTCACATTGCTCGGGGTTGATGTGAGTGTTCCTCTGGGGGTCTGGAAACTCTAGTTCTGCCAGCTCTGAGCAGTGGTGAACGAATGCTAAAATAGCAGCAGTTATATTAGCTCAAGATACTAGTGTCAGGGGCATGAATGGTCTAGCCCAGTGGTTCTCAAACGTTTTTTGCACCTGTACCCATGATTGAATTTCGCTTCAACCGAGTACCCCTTTGCCTGACCCAACATGGTTCTGAGAAATAAATGTATTAATAACCAATTGCCAAATTTGTGAGGCATCCTAACTAGTTAGTAATTGCAAGCAAATAACAACATTTTTTACGGACGCTCACCATGCGTGAAACAATTTATTCTCGCTCACTGGTTACTCTTGGAAACCACATTATTTACGATCAATGAGTTTCGAAAGATCTTTACATTGTTCTAGGTTACCATGTGGATTTACATTTTATTGTAGTTATTTAACATTGGCAAATTCCTATATTATTATTCACCAATGGCCCCCATGTATGATATTTCACACATTTATAAAATACCTCACATACACCCGGGGACATTGCCACATACTCCCAGTGGTCCATGTACCCCCAGCTGAGAACCACTGGTCTAACCTGCTGTTAGCATTGGGGCATTGGTCCTCTGCATTTGAAAAATATACCACACTTTACCCAGCAACCATAACTAAGGCTTTGGTCAATAATGCACTGCAGTTTACCCAAATAGAACAACGTATCTACCCACAATGCATCGCACTTTGCCCGTGATTCAATGTAGCCACCCCGACAACAACATTGATACTGGTATGACCTTGAGGTCACCCACACCATGCCCTCTCTCGGCAGTGCTCCTTCACTCGGCTCATCCTCCCCAGGTATTATCCAGGAGCCTTCATCGCGTATTTCGACACTGATATAGCTTAGAAAAACCACAGATCACCCTGACTACGAGTTTAAGAGTGGCAGATGGTGGCGCCTGCAAAATTATCATTTAACGCATTGGCAAGATTAATAAACTATTGCATCCCACCAACGCGATGTACCATGTACCTCCCTCTAATATATTATTCCCACGATACCTTTATTCCCCAGAAATGTCCCCCATAAAATCCGTAGCAAAGTATGTTATAGCAATGCGATTCAGAGGCTCCGCACACTGTCTGTCCCGACAAAATGTCTATGATAGTTTTTGTTTTACTCAGAATAGACGCTCCTACCTCCTCTGTTTCCTGAGTACCATGTGATCCATTATGGGGGTTGGCAATACTCAAGTTATGGAGCCTCCGCTAGGCTGTGCTGGCCAGTTGCTGCTATGAATAACTAAACCGAAGTGGTGCTTATGCCCGCCACGTATTGGCCACACATGGCTACCCTATTCAAGTCTACTCACTCACTGGGCCACCAGGCACGCGCACATATAATCTATTCTCCTGAAGAACACCGCGTTATGGAATATTCGCGTTATAATAAATTAATGATATAATATTTTGGGTACAGCACAGTCCGCAATAATACGTGAGATGCATACGCAGGCTGAACAGAAACTGAGGTTCGTGGGTAGCATCTAGAAGCATCCAACAGCATCCCACATTGTGTGATGCTATGTCAAGGCAGCCATACGACTGCTTATTCCAACTCGCGTGATGTAGTTATCTTCACTCAATCTCCCATTCGCATCCGCGTTATAAAAAGTGTTCCCTAATACCTTAATCGTGTTTCATACAATTCACGCTATGAAAACTACGCATTATAGGTGAACAGACTGTATTTAGTATTTTTTCTTGCAAAACATCTGTGCCGGTTTGATACATTCAGGTTGGCCTTCCTTTGATTTACCATGGGTTTAACCAGACTGGATTGTGTGAGCTCATAGATCATTAAAAGATCAGGGCACAGTCCCATCATTGAGCCTCTCTGGCAGGTGAGGCTGCATTGCCTCAGTCATGTAGCCTGTATGCCCATCCACTGCATGCCTAAGCCACTTCTGTTTGGCTGGATACAGGCAGCTAAATAAGCATATAATGGGCTAGGGAAGAGAGATGGACTGATGTGGTATATATGGATGTGGAGTCAATTGGGCTTATCAATCACTGGTACCAGCTGTGTCAAGATTGTCCTCTATAAAGGAAGCTCTGAAGGATGCTACCGGGCAGCTGAATGCAGCTGCACTGCAACAACAATTCAAAATGAGTGAGTGCCATGTGACTAAAACGCAGCAAGTTTGCGTAGTAGGAAGTACAGGTGGTTTCATCTGTAAGTTATCTTAGTGAGTAAATCCATGGCACCTGGGTCTGTCGCATGATCTCAGGGCAGCAAGCCTTCAACGTGTCACGTGGCCTCAGTCCACCTAAACTGAAAGATGAGCCGTGGTGATGTTGCCACCATTGAGTAGCGAATGGCCGTATCATCACAATTAAATTCGTTTTACTTCAAACGATATAAATGTGAATGTTGTTTGCAATAACCCTTGAAAAAACACATGCTTGCAGGGAGATATGTAGCAAGAAACTTTAAATACAAAAAAAAACTACTTTTGCGTAAATTTTCTGCCTGTTGGCCCTGTACTCTGACGCGTGATGTCCACAGCTACCAGGAGAGCATTGAGCACCTCTCGCGCCTCCACCACGACCAGCCCGAGCGACCGATAGACCGCGCGGTGCACGCGCTGGAGTTCGTGATGCGTCACGGCCATGCGCGCCACCTGCGCACAGCGGCTCATCAACTCGCCTGGTATCAGCTGCACTGCCTGGACGTGGTGGCCTTCCTGAGTGCTGCTGCAGGGTTCGCCCTCACGCTGCCTGTCCTCCTCTGCCGCCTGTGCTGCCACTGCAGGAGGGCGGCCAAAGTGGCAGGAAAGAAGAGCAAGAAGGAGTGAGGAGAGCTGGGGTCACTCTTATATGAAAATCAGTTATTTCCTTGGACAGAATTTAATGAATTGACAAAACGCAACACAGCTGTTGCTTTGTCAATGAAAACACAATAATAGGTATTCTTTGGGTCTTTCAGTAAAGTCATGTAGTTATGTTCAAAATAATAAAACAAAGAAAAAACTACGACGTTTCGATCGCAACACAAGCAACTGTCATGAGGAGGAAATAAGTATAACCCGTAAAAACAAAGTTTTTCACTATAAATCCTTTATATGCGTGGCGGCTAGAGTCCTCTCGTCATCTGGCTTGAGATGGCTGCCACTTATGGGTCAGATGATTGTCTGCCAGTATTAAGCAATTGGTAATTGAATATTTAATTTGTTTTCCCTAAACAGTGTAAAATTTTGTAAAAAAAATTTTCACGAATATTAATTGTCTCGCACAACGAGTCTGTGTGCAAAATGTCAGCTCTATTGGATCACGGGAAGTGGGTTAAAAAAACGACCGAAAGATTTGCACGGTCGTAAGCAAGCAAGCAAGCACGGAAGCACGCAAGCAAGCAAGCGAACTTAATATAAAGGATTTAAAAATGAAGGAAAGCTACTCAAGGCAAGCTGTTTTAAAGGTTTAAAATGGGCATAGCCTAAGTGTCAGAATGAAGTGGGTGGGGCACAAGTGCTGTAAAGTCGTAACTGGCTGTGACGTTTCCAATTTGTCACCTTCCGATGTTAGTTTTAGTTTATCTTCTTGGTTCTTTCGGTAAAGTCACGTAGAAGGGAAGTAATAAAATAATAAAAATAAAACACAATAAAATAATTCTCACGACGTTTCGGCCACAACGCAAGCAGCCGTCCTCAGGTGAAAACCAGGTCCGTCGAGGCGACAGAGTCTGAATGAAACAACACACGAGCTTGCAGCATATATATATATAAGCTGGGCGCCTTGACAACGGAATTTGCATATCAAGATGAATTTAGCATATTTATGGGAAATGCAGGAATGTGATTAGTACTACATATGCATGTGCATTATGCAGGATTAACAGCATCAAAGGGAGCTGCAGTTTGTTGCTGCTGCAGTTGCTGCTGCTGCAGTTGCTGCTGCTGCAGTTGCTGCTGCTGCTGCAGTTGCTGCTGCTGCAGTTGCTGCAGTTGCTGTTGCTGCTGCAGTTCCTGCTGCTGCTGCTGCTGCAGTTGCTGCTGCTGCTGCAGTTGCTGCTGCTGCTGCAGTTGCTGCTGCTGCTGCAGTTGCTGCTGCTGCAGTTGCTGCTGCTGCTGCAGTTGCTGCCTTATCCATTTTAATATAACACTATGTATTATTCTACCCACCCTAATGTGTATCACACTGCTATATATTTACTATACAATTACGACACCATACATTACTCTGCACACTGCATCAATCATACAAATGCCACACTATCTGCTACTATACACTGTACCATTGACCGTCGTATCAATGGGTGAGTGGTGAAAGAAAACTTGCAGCGGAGCAAAGAATCTATTCCCTGCGGAGAATACAATGCCAGTGAGTGGAACACGGTCTGAAAGTCACCGTAAACGTGAACACAATCAGTTAAGATCCGAAATGGTTTATTGCGTCCTTCCAATGATTGCTAAGCCAGAATCCATCTTCTCGGTTGAAATTGTCTCTGTGTTTGTATATGTGGATCGCCTCATGAACGAATCTCTCATGATAGCCAGATGGCTTGCAGAGAACCTCTGTCTTGAAGAAGTCAATGGCATGTGAGCCCACTGAATTGTAACAGTGATCTGCCACGGCTGAGGTGTTTGTCCTACCGTGTTTCAGGTCTGCTTTATGTTCACGGATGCGGTCCGAGACATGCCGTTTGGTTTCCCCAATGTAACTGCTACCGGAGAGGAAACTTAATTTGTAGACGCCAGGGTACTGTATGTCTGGAACCACATCTTTTACAGACGGGACCAGATCACGGATTTTATGTACTGTGTTGAATCGGACCTGGATCTTGTGTTTAATCAGGATTTTGGAGATCTTTTTTGTGACCCCAGCAATGTAGGGTAAGGTGATGGTCTTGAAAGGCTCCTCAACAGGATCCTTCTTGATGGTTGGAGTGATGGCCTTGCGGATTGTGTAGTCGGAGTAACCATTAGCCTTAAGAGCTTGGCGTACGTGTTTGAGTTCACTGGCAATGTGTTCCTGGTCGGAAATACATTGGGCTCTATGGTATAGAGTCTTGATGAGGGAATTCTTCTGGGATGGATGGTGGTGGGAATCCAGTTTTAGGTAAGCATCCGTATGGGTGGCTTTCCAGTAGACAGAGTGGCTCATTGAACCATCAGGTCTCCTTTTAATTAGGACATCCAAAAAGGGTAGCTTGCCATCTTTTTCGACTTCCATGGTGAATCTGATGGCTGGGTGTATGGAATTGATGTGGTCGAGAAATTGGTCTAGAGCAGGCCGGCCATGTGGCCAGATGACAAAAGTGTCATCTACGTACCTCTTCTATAAGGTTGGGCGTAGAGTGGCAGTCTTGATGGCGTCAGTCTCAAATTTCTCCATGAAGATTTTGGCTACAACCGGAGATAGGGGGAGCCCATTGGGGTGCCCTCAGTTTGCTTGTAGAAAGTTCCATTCCAGGTGAAGTATGTATTGGTTAAGCAGTGTCTCACCAGGGGGGGTACCCCAGCATTCAGTCCTTGATAAACCAAGTCTTCAATGATTGCGATGGTGTCAGGTACAGGAACTTTGGTTCCTGTGTCTGAAATCCTACGGCATTTCACTGCGAAAACCACCTCTGCGGTACTAAACTCTACTGACCTGGTATCGACAATCAAGGGGATTGCCCTGTCCCCAGACGACCTGCTTGTCAGTTTTGATGTGGTTTCCTTATTCACCAAAGCAGCAGCAACTGCAGCAGCAACAAACTGCAGCTCCATTTGATGCTGTTAATCCTGCATAATGCACATGCATATGTAGTACTAATCACATTCCTGCATTTCCCATAAATATGCTAAATTCATCTTGATATGCAAATTTCTTTTTCAAGGCGCCCAGCTTATATATATATATATATGCTGCAAGCTCGTGTGTTGTTTCATTCAGACTCTGTCGCCTCGACGGACCTGGTTTTCACCTGAGGACGGCTGCTTGCGTTGTGGCCGAAACGTCGTGAGAATTATTTTATTGTGTTTTATTTTTATTATTTTATTACTTCCCTTCTACGTGACTTTACCGAAAGAACCAAGAAGATAAATCCCTGCAGTCACGAAAGCTTTAAATCGAAATTTAGTTTTAGTTTACTAAAGATGGGACCTCTAGGACTCATGTATAACCTTCTCTTGACTCCCCGATTTTACATTAACATGTTAATTTCTAACATTAACATAACCATCTCCGCTTGTAATACAAATGTCAGGCTCTTTTCGAAGATAACTTCAGTTTTGCTGAAAGCATACTATAAAAAACATACATTTGTCAAAAACACTATTTTAAAGAACATGTATGAAATCGAATTATTGGGGAAGAGATCTTCTTGATAGCACAGATAGGCCAGAGAGATAGAGGGGATAAAAATAGGCTTGATACAAATTAAATGTTTTATGTATTCTAACTACCAGTTTTTAAAATTTGCATATGCATACTTACCTAGTAGTGGCTATTATGTATTGTAATAATAAAAACAACTTTTTCTAAATATTCTTTGGGTCCTTCGGTAAAGTCACGTAGATAGCTTGAAAGAAAAGAAAAAAACACTACGACGTTTCGATCACAACACAAGCGATCGTCATCAGGAGGAAAAAGAGTAAAGCTGCTGAGGCAGACTGTTTTAAAGGTTTATAATGGGTTTAGCCCAAGGGCCATAAACAAAATGGGCGGGACTAGTGATTTTAATGTGAGAAATTAGCATGTTAATGTCAGATCGGAGGACGACGTCTACGATGGAAGGCGCGGAGGTGGCTATGTTAATGTGAGAGATTAGCATGTTAATGTAAGATTGCAGAGCCGCTGCTGTATCGGCGCGTGAGGTGGCTGTGTTAGTGTCATACATTTAATCTGTTAATGTAAATGTAAAATCAGAGAGCCGAAATTAACAACTAACATCGGAAGGTAGGGTGGAAACATCACAGACAGTTATGACTTAAACTGGTTAATAACGTCCTTCCAATGATTGCTCAGTTGTACCCATCTCGGTTGAAATTGTGTCTATACATATGGATGGCTTCATGAACGAATCTTTGTTGATAGCCAGTGGGTTTGCAAAGTACCTTCTTCTTCGAGAAATCAATTTCGTGTGAGCCCACTACATTAAAACAATGATCAGCCATGGCTGAGGTATTGGTCCTTCCGTGTTTCAGATCTGCCTTATGTTCACGGTCTGAGACATGTTGCTTAGTTTCCCCAATGTAACTACTGCCACAGACAAAAGCTTAGTTTGTAGACGCTGGGGTATTGCATGTCAGGGTTCACATCCTTCACAGATGGGATCAGATCACGAATTTTATGTACTGTGTTAAATCGAACCTGGATTTTGTTTTCATGATTTTTCTAAATACACATTTATATCAAGAGCAAGTTATTAAATGTTTCAGGCACTTAGCGTTGTGGAATAATATGCTCCTGTGAACGCAAAGGCACACTCCACTTGGTAACGCGTTTCTGATCTCAATTATTTCAATCCGAGGAATTTAACTGACCTTACATTTCTGAAATATAATGTGAGGTACACATATGAAACAAAAATAAAATGAAACAAAAAAAGGGGTAATGTTTGTCTAGCACTCAATAATAAAACTATACATGTGTAGTGACTGACTCGGCGACACTTAGCAACTACGGTTCCCAGTCAGGACAGCTGGTAGACTGCCTGACTGGCAACGCCGAGATGGTGAAGATGGTGACGACATTGAAGACTCCAGCAGCATGACGGGGATCCCACTCCAAACGACAGCCCCGAGGTCCCCTCCCGGGGCCCCTCTTATACTGTCAGCGTGGCCTGGCTCCGCCCCGGCCATGCCCCCCTTCTGGAACCTACTAGTGGGTTCTCGATGTGCTCCTTCCGTAACCTTTCCCCTCTGGTCTATCACGTGACCTGCTGTCAGGGCTTACGTAAGCTGCAGATCCTCTTCCCCGTGAGCAGTCAGCGCTATGCTGCTACGTGACGGATTCTATGTCACTACACATGCAAGCGAAGGTAAGATGTTGATTCAGTCTACCAGCTGAAGAGTATTCGGTTTAAATATGAGGCAACCTTCTGTCCTTTTTCTGGTCTCATTCCCACCAGAAATCCATACGAGGCCATGCACTGAAATATTTACCGGCACTCGTGACACGTTCTGCAAGATCCGACTCCATCCTTCCAGTGCTCACTGAGCTGCATTGGCTTCCGATTGCTGAACGAATACATGATAATGTCGCACACATTACACACAAAGTGCTTGCCACAAATGTAGGTGCTGTTGACGATCACTACATCTCTGCTGTAGCAGACGGACAGAAAAAAGTGTCCATACAAGACCGCCCCATCTGAAACCACATTCGTGTTCCAAAAGCCTTTCCTCAGCATGTTTGACAAGGCGATGTTGAATAATAATTTCCAGGACCTTTCGCAGCACATGGAGGAGGGGGATTCCATGTTTTTTGTTGTCATCACAGACTCAGCGCTCAAAATAGATCTCCCTCATTGAGGTTTTAATACCAGCAGCGAAGCATGAAATCTTGCAATTGGTTTTCCTAGTTGGGTATTAATTGGCATACTCTAGTATGAACAAAACTGTGTAGTTCCTGGACACTCA